CCTTCCCTCCCTCCCCCCTCCCCCCTTTTTGGTAGGGTGCGTCAGAGTTCATTTGAAATATGTGTACTTCTGTTTATTTAATACAGAGATAGAGAACTAGCAGTGCTGGAAATATTGTCAAGGTAATTAAGATCCAACAGTGACTGATTCTGCTTGAAGGAAGTCTTATCAGGAAATCTCAGCATTGTAGGAACTAATATAGCTATGTGAAGAAACAAAAAATAAAGATAACTGTTTTTGACTTGCTATTGAAGCTGCTGCTGCTAATACTGGTTGCATCATTTCACATACGTTACAGCCACCTTAACTTTCTATAAAACATTAAGTGTAACATTCATCTAAAATAAAATTTCCAATAAAATATTTTTAAAATGTATGGTTTATTTTGCTTTACTTTTGTTGTATTTATATATAATTTATTAATTTTAATATGCACTAAATAGACTTTTTAAAGTTCTTATTGATAGCAAGTTTTCTTTTTGCTTCTTTCCCTTAACTATACTATTCATTTCAGATTCCCATTACTATTTATGTAATTTGTTAGAGTTTGATCATCCTTCCTAAGTCTAAAGCTAAAGAAATTTGAAATTTTCTGTCATAGAGACAATAGTGAAATAAAAAGTGGTGATGGAAATATTGCTTCCTTATAGTCCTTTGCTGGGTATTGAAAAGTGCCACAAAAATGGAACCCAGAGCCTACTACCATGCTGGAGTGTACATATTTATGTCAGATTTCCTAGAGGATCGGGTGAACATATAATGGACTAGGTTTAATTTGGAAGGGTTTGGTTTTTTGTTTTTCATTTTAGATTGTGGATAGCATTTTATTTTGTAGTACAATGTATCTGTATTTAAAATGTCTTGCTTCCTGTTATACATCAAATGAATTGGAGTGATACTCCCTTTCTTCAGTCATAGACATCTCAGGAAATCCTCTAAAACATGTACATATATCCAAGTTATCAGACAGACTACAGTATGATTTTTTTGTCTCTCAGTTATTTAGTAGAAAATGAAAACAATTTAAACTGTAGAGAAATGATCCCTCAATAGAGAATGGTAGGATAGAACTTGTAAATGTCTGGATATACTTCGATTTGTACATTTCTTCCTAAAAAAATCTTCAACTTCTTCCTGGAGTAATCTGCTACTGTTTTTCAAGTTCTAGCACTTGAGAATAAAAAAGCACGAGAAATACTTTCTTAGTGCAGTATAGCAGAATAATGTGTTTTACACTTCCACACAAACAGAAAATGGAACACTGCTTTTCAACATTTAAAATAATGTAATAGACTGTTGGATTTACCTTAATGTCACAATTCCATTCAATAACTGATATACCTAAAAAACAAGAAATGATAGTTTGCAAGGATGGACAGTCATTCCACCTTACTGTTTTGGGTTCGGATTTTAAAACTTGCATTGGTTTCCTATATTTGTCATAGTAAAATCTTTCTGGGGGCTTTGCAACTGAGTTATATATATTATATATTTAATATATTTATTAATATATAATATATGTATTTTGCTCATTCACAAGCTTAATGTCTTAGGAGTGAAGCTGTAGACGTTTAACACATTAACTTCCTCCAAGTGCATGCTTTGTTTTATTTTTAGTTGAGATGTTTGTATTTGGAGTACATTTAAAATTTTGTTTGATGTTTAAATCAGCTCCTGAAAAGTCACATCATCTTTTTTTTTTTTTTCCTGCTATTTAAATATTTGCTTCTGCTTTATCAGTAAGCTTTTCTATGCATGACTGAGTCCTGCCATAATAAAAATTTCATGGTGCATTATATGAGGAAGTAAAACAAGGAGGTTATTTTTGTCTGGAGGCTATAGCAAAAATCACTGTGCATCTTTACCAGTACATGTGGCTCTCTGGAGGACTGCATATACTCTATTTAAATTACTATACCTAGCAGGTTTTCTTGTCATGAAGCTTGATGATATACGCAACCAATAAGAGGTCAGAGACCCAATTAAATCAATTATTTCCTTAATTGCAATTGTTTCCACATTAGAATTAGATTTTAGATTAAAAATAAAACTAAACAAAAAAACTGAATTTATAAGAAAATGGTTTTAAACTAGAAAACCTTAAGAAGAAATTGTTTACTCAGAAGGCATCCACACAGATAAGCTGTGGATGCCACATCCTTGGAAGTGTTCAGGGCTAGATTGGTGGAAATTTGAGCAACCTGGTCTAGCATGAGCTGTCCCTGCCAATGGAAGGAGAGTATGAGCTAGATGATCTTTAAGGTCCCTTCCAAGCCAAGCCATTCTATAATTCTGTTTTTGCATTTTTATGATGTGTGAGTTTTTTCTATTTTTTTTAACCTTGTATTACCTAGAACTTTTTTCATTAACTACATGAAAAGATTTATTCATATACTGATATGGTTCTTATACTTTCTTACCCTAGAAAGTAACTAATTTCCAAGGTTTATCTGTCTTCAGAACAAATCTTCTTTATTCACAGTATTTGGAGGGCTGACTCATCTTTATTTATTTAATCCTTTTATATATTAATCAAAACATTGGTTTAAATTTCTAATTTCCAGGAAAAAAAAAAGAAGTATGATGATAAACTTCTAACTCCCTATCAATACCAGAATGTAAGGCATTTTGTGGATCATCATCATCATGTCCATTAAAGTGCAAGCTTAAGTTCACATTAAATGAGTGGCAGAGCTAGTGACTCAGACCTATAATTATCCATCACTGGTTAATGCTGCAGACATCTGTTAATTTGCATTCATATGACCGACACTCATTTCATAGTATAGTCATCTTGTAGATCTAAAATTTCAGTGGTTTTAACAAAGTTTTCTCTAAGTAGTTATCTCCTCTGAGTAGTCTACTGTTCTTTAGGCACTTCCTGTGGAAACAGTGGTGCAGCACATGCTGGAGATAAAATGTTGGACTTGAATTAATATGAGGTAGCCACTTGTTTTATTTCATTCATACTTCAAGCTTGCAGCTACATATTTGATATCTAGGAAGTAAGGAATACAGATTTAAGTTCTTAGTTTCTCTATCCCTCTTCTTATCTTTTAAATAAGAGAAGGAAAGGAGAAGAAAGAATGCTCAGTTCACCTAAACTTTTGTTATCCCGTTTTTGAAAATTTGATACCCAAGATCTTTTGATACCCAAGATCTTTATTTACAATTGGAGTCTGAGCATAAGAAATCTATGAGGCAAGTTTACCTTGGAAATCTTTTAGTAAGGTCTGATCTCAGATCATTAACACTGAAATCCTCAGCTAAGAAGGCAAAAATAGGTTTGAGAGCACCCTCCCTTGCAAAGAGTGAGATTATTCTAAGTGAAAAGCCTCTTCTCCTCTATTGACTATAGAAAAGTGAAAAGGGCTCCTTAAAAATATACTCTGACCATGCAGCTGTCTGCCAAGACAACCTCCTTTCCCAGAGCAGAGTTTTCCTGAGCTAATGATCTTCAAAGGACCATAAGGAAAGTGGAAATCAAATCAAATGATGAGAAAAAGGTTCTAAACAGCTGCTTTTGTTGCCAGAAGCTCCCTTGATTGCATCACATGCACAGCTCAAACCAGTCACACTGAACACAGCGTCTCACTGATAATTACAACACTTTATCTGGAAATATGGACAAGTCAAATAACAACTTTCATCTGCCAGATTCCATGATTCAGAGACAATTAGAAGGACATGAAAGTGGTCACAGGGTCCAGTGAGAGAAGAAGCAGACCTGAGCTCTTAGAAATTAGCTCAGAATAATTTCAGACTTTCCAGGGCACTGAGTACCAGTTAAGATTCATAATTATTGTGAAAACATCTAGGAAAAGTGTTACTTGCAGAGGATAGCCATGGATTAAAAGGAAAAGATTACAGGGTGTAGAAGATCTAAGTGGAAACTGAATGCATCATCCAGTTAAAAATAAATCTGTTTATATGGCTCCTTAACTCCTTTCTTTCCGTTCTTAAAATCTTTCAAGAATGGGAATAACTTTTTTATTGTCATACACCTCACAAAAAGAAGTTAATTTAATAAGCTAAATACAAGAATGTCCAATAATGAAGTCCAGAGAAAAATCTAAGAACAGAAGAATTAGGTAATAATCTTCCAAAATATTTTGCTAACCTCTCATCATTTCTATCTAAGGCACTTACTCAGCTGTTTCCGAGAGGTGTGTACTGGTATTGGTTATACTTTTCTTACATCAGCTGCTCAGTTGATTTTCTTGCAGCTTTTGTGGATTCTGAAGTTGTTTAGGCCCCCTACTATATTGGAATATTTATTTCTTGGGCTGAAACAAAACTTTCACAAATCGGAATTGAAGAAAAATTGTTTACAGCATTATGTCTGAGCACACAGATATAAATGAAAGCTGAAAAAAAAAGTCTAGATATCTCAAAAAGGTTGTGTGAACATGCCTCCAAAAAATAGTAAGACAACAAATGATGTGTTATATGACCTTGCCTTGTAGTGCTCTCTCTCTTTTTTTTTTTTTTTTTTTTTTTTTGCTTTGCTTTTTGGCAATAATGATATTTGTTACCTTCAAAGGTATTCATGGCTGTATCTGGAAAAGTTTTGGTAAATGCAGTCCAAATTCTTCAAGTTGTACAGCTTAATAGAATTATGTAGAATAGTGTTGATGAGGTAGTTAAAAAAGTATTCAAAAGTGATAATGATATATCAAAAGATATAATGAATATATGGAAAAGAATAATTGAACAGGTTTGTATAAAGTTTTTGAATTTTTGACTTTGTCTTACCCTCAAGAACTAAAGCCCAGTTTGTATAAATTAGGTTTAACTCTGATTTCTAAACGAGGGATTCTATGCTCTCAGAATTTAGGCTTAAAAGGAGTGTTATTGTTATTCATTTTAACAAAAATAAGAACTCTAAAAAAAATGATTATATTTGACACAACTCCCCTCTCAACATGCATGCTTAGTTCTAACTCAGTTCTACCTCAATACTTTTTTCTCTCATTTATTGTCTTATACATGTTTCCCAGGATAGCCCACTGGTCTTACAGTCTGACAGAAATGTAACAGTGAATGCGAGAAATCACATGGGACAGTTAACTGGACAACTGACAGTAGGTGAGTGTTCTTTATTAACTGTTATGTATATCAGTTTAGATTTATGAATAGCTTAATCAATACAGAGGATAAAATATTGGAATCAGAAAAACTTTTGTCACCATATTCCAAAAAGAAACAGTGGATCATAAAAGTATAATTAGCATTAGCTGAAGGCAGAGAAAGTAGGAATGGACATACATAGTTAAAACATAGCTTAATGAGAAAAGATTATTTTTTCAGACAGCTGTAACAAAACAAAAAAGTCAGCAGCAATTTCAAAGGGAAAATAACCATCATTTTCTTACAAGTACTGACATTTTTCCATTATTTCAGTGGAAATTGGTTTGTTCCCATTATTCTTACAATATATTTGTACCAGCATATATTGAAAATCATTGAAAAGTATCAGAATGGAAAAAACAAAACAGAAACTCAAATGCTTTCCTAGTCACCAGAACATATAAATGGAAAGTGATCATACTGTCTGTCATCAGTCTTTGATATTTTGCAAAGTATAAAATATTACCCAATCAACATTCCAAATGAAATAGAAATAAAAAAAATCCTCTATCTATTTGTTTCCTGTAGGTTCTTTATTTTGATTCTTCTTTAAATGTATTTATTCCCTGCCATTATTACTTTCAACATTTTATAAAAAAATTTTGTCACAAATTGTACTTAATGCTACTAAATATGTATTACTATTGAAGTAATATATTATGATTTCATTGCTATCGTAGTACTGAAGATACTCATTGCTTGTTAAGAGTACAAAGTCATAAAACAATGCATATTGACTGGGAACACAATGAAACATATACGGATATGTAACATAATAATGTATGTATAAATTTAAGGAGATATCCCTTAGACTCCTCATCTCTTTTTTTTCTTTCTTTTTTTTTTTTTTTTTTTTCCTTCACTTCTTGGTTTAAGCTCTATTTATCTGCCCTTTTTCCTCCTGAATCAAGGCTGTGCTGACTGGTAAAGTTTTAAGTTAAACTCTAGTTGTGATCTACACTGAGCTTTCATATCAGCTGAAAACTGTAGTTTCATGTTGCAAAAAAACCTTTGGCAAGTATCTTGTAGAACAAGACACCATCTGCACTGATTTTCCCCAACAACTACATCAAATGAGTGTACAGAGGTAAGCAGGCTAACTAGCAGATACAGATGAGGAAACTTAAGCAAACACCTGTTCTAGCCATATTGTACTTGCCAGTGTGTTTATGGAACACAATTCCGTTTCATCTGGTAGCTGTATTAATAAACCTTCCACTTTATCTAATTGCTGAAGAGTTGCCTGTGCAGATAATCACTTTGACTGAAATACATAAGATACTGTTATTGCTGGCACCATTCTTGCTAAGTGATTCTAACAATGAACAGTGATTTTACCTAAAGATGTCACAATAGATAATAATATTATAAAAACACAAAGGTCTGATGAAAACATGTCCTTATGTTACAGTCATTACAGTGAACACCTGCAAGCTTCTTAATGGGTTTGCAGATGGTGCAGTGTCTGGGAAGGGGGAGTTTCTTAAATTACAATATTGTATTGACTTTATTCCTCATCTTCCTATTTTTCTCGTAATGGTTGTATGGCCTTTATTTTTATCTATATGAACATTCTTTCTTTTACATAAATTCCTCATATAATATTGAATACATACAAAGTTATTTCTTGTTGTGAAGTTTATAATGTAACATTTGTTGGTGTAGGCATAAGTAATTACCAGAGTACAATCAGTCAATGCCTGAACATTCTGCTATTGGAAATCAAAGAAATTAATGGGCACCTAACATTCAAAATGTGTTACTCCTGTCTCCCTTCCAAAACCTTCTGTTGCATAAAGCAGAGAAGAGACAGGCAAATTCTTGATTTTATGATGATTTTATATTGATTTTATAAGATAAAGCTTTTCAAATAACTAGTCAGATCTGATGACTCTTCCATTTACCACAAAATTTCTGTTGTGTATTCAAGTTTTTTTGGTTTTGTTTTTTCTTTAGAAAGTTTCCTTGTTTACTTGCTGTGTTCCATCATGTGGGTTATTGGGGTATAAATAATTGTGCATTCAAAGCAAGAGGTGTGTAACCTTCTAGAAGTGGAAACAGTCCCTTTTCTCCTTCTTATCTAAATTACATATGCCAGTCACTTGTGCCCAGCTTTGCTTATGCCCTACCACTTAGCAAATCCTACTATTCCTTCACTTTCAAAGTGACTGAAATAACTGTGATGTTCCTTTTGCAAACGCTTCAGTTCCTATGTTCTCTTTGTAAACACCTTTGTCCATTTTATTGTAGATAACTTTTGTCATCACTCTTCTTTCCCTTAAAGAGAAATTTGCCTACCTGTAGTCCCAAAACAAAAGTGAATCTTCAAAAATCTACAATATATTAAACAATCCATTTGTATTATTTTTACATTAAAAAAATGCTCTGATAAAAAGTGGTGCAATCAGATTATGAATAGCTAAAGTCACAGTAATAAATAAATAGTTGTAAAGAGACACATCACCCAAAATTTGCTATTGAATTATTTTTTTCTCAGGATTTTCTGAATTTGTATTTCTCAACTAAAATAGGAAAAAAAATTGGTCCTTCAAAATATTCCTTTCAGGGATTTTCTCATTAATCTGACTCTTCTCATTTTGGCAAAGTTTTTTATTTGTTCATTTATTCTCTCTCTCTTCCTTTTCTAACCTAAGAAAACACAGAATTCCTAATTTCTGTGCTAAATTATCTGTATAGCATGCTATTGCTTAGCAGTTTTGAATGGTGTATTTAATTTTCTGATAAACAATTCTGTTATCTAGTGTTTTCCCTTGTTTTACCAGCCAGTTACCTGTTGATTGAGAGAATAATTAGATAATTGACACAGCCTAAGATTATTAAATTTGAATGTATAACTGTTATACTGTTTCTTATGAAATTTTATGGCCAGCATAGGAAGTACAGTATTTAAATTCCAATACATTTTAAGTATAGGAATATAAACAATTTATCATGAGTTGAAAGTGTAACTCATCTGTTATTTTCAGAGCTTTAAAACTGAGGAAAATTTGTGGTTTTCTAGTGCAGGTTGGTTATCTTGTACTTACTGCAGAGTAAAGCACCTCTTTCTACTGTGGACATTACCATGAATGGTAGGATGAGTGATGTCTGAGAGGCCATATGGCCTTAAGTGTCCCCCTGGCAAAGCATGTGAGAAGAGCCAACAACCAGTCAAAAAACAAGCCATGTTGCTCATAACAGTTGAATGGTCCAGCTGGAATCTGTGTCTCATCCCTTCTCATAATTTACTGGGCAATGTGATCTTGTATGTTTCTGTCTGTCTAATCTCTAGAAAAGTCTTAAAAACCATCTGGGCTATGAAAAGTTTTTTGTGCAGCTCACATAAGGTATGTTTAGATATATCATTAATGGATTATAGCTGAAATATCGTGATAAACTACTACCATTAATTAACTGTCTTGAAGTGTGGGATTAGGAAAATAAGAAGCTCTGATAACTGGTCAAAACTTCTACCCTTTTGCCAGCACTTTATTGGTCTGCCAAAGTAGCCTTTTAAAGATTAACATGTTATTTGACTGAAATTCATCTTTTTCTTTCTTCACTTCTCTGTTAAAGTCAGCTGGCAATAATATAAAGCCTGTTGCTGTTTAATATTTGAAATATTCTATGGTTTTAAATATAATCTTGCATCTTGCTTATGAACTGTCAGATGAACAGCTGCTATAAAAAAACATGGTAAGCTTTTTTCTGTTACTTATTAGGCTAAAATACAAATCTTTTCTGGTAAGCAGTGCCATTGATTAACCTAAAAGCTCCTTCCTGTGTACAAGAGCATACAATGTCAGTTCATACATCAAGAATTCAGCATTTCCCCAGGAACAGAAATGCAAGCTGTAGTAAGACAGCATTTAAATTTTGTGCAATTTTAGCTTGGTACTTTCTGAGGTGAGAGCACATGTTCGATGTTGGTTTTAAATAGCAATAGCAAAGTCCTCCACTATGAATTAAAGATCCATTTTTTTAACTACTATAATCTGTACTAGCACAATTCATACAGTTTTCACAAATCTTAAAAATAATTGTTTTCCTGTTGAAATACTGAGACTCTAAAAGTTCAGAAACTAAAACTTTTCCATATTAGAGCTTTGACCCAACTTCTTTTCTTTGTCTTTGCCTGAGCTCAGTATGTCTACTTCTACCTAGTATACAAAGTACAGATTGTGTTAGTAGGTATCCGAAGATGTATTTATCAAATGAAAACAACATCTTTTGCTATCTGCAACTGAAAATCAAAAAGAAAAACATGCGATTTTCATACTAGTCTGATACTTATCTTTATAATATTTGTGATATTTGTATATCCTATTTTTGAAACACCAAATACCTGGTCTCCAGTGTGTTTTTCTTTCAGTAATCTAGAGTTGATACGAAAAGGTCAAGCACGTTCTCAAAGTCAGGATAAGTTGCTAAGATTTGACGGCCTAAAAGTCATATGCAAGGAGGTTTATGTTACTTTTTCTTCTGCTGTTGTCTTTGACTCTGTGCAGCACTTTTATGCAGCAACTTAAATACTGGTGTGCTATCACCTGCTATCACCACTCTTTTCATAAAAATCCTAAACACAGTATCATGTGAGCATCCAAAAGAAAATTAACTCTATCCTAGCCAAAACCATTACATTATTCTACCTTGTTGCATTATATGTAAGGATGTGCTTAAATGTAAGGATGAATATTTCCCCTATTTTCAGATGAAAATTAGGAAAAATGATATTTTGGGTCAGTTCTTAAATATCTAAATTCTCAGTCTTTAAAAAAAGAAAAGAAACTATTTTTCTGAATAGTGGACAGGCAATTCTGTGCAGTGGTTGGATTAAATGTAGAAGAAGTGTTTGAGCAGAAAGAGGTCATTAATGGTTTGCATGGTGGTACAGAAGTGTTAGTGTTTAAATATTAATTCATTGCCATCTGTCATGCTGTTTTTACCCATGCACTGTT